CTGTTGTATGAAATGTGCCTCTAACAAAATAGAAACAACAGAAGATCTTAGCTGCCAAAAAGGCTGTGACGTGTGATGTGTCATTATTTTCAAAAATGGAAAATTTGTCTTGGAAGCCAGAGGAAAATTTATCCAGTATAAAATAATTGTTCGGTATCACCACACTCTTTCTAGACAATGTAAGTTTATTCAAGGATGCTTTGTGAGGGATTTTTTAGGACAGAAACAGGTATAAAGAAATGGTATAAAGAAAAAAGCTAAGCTACTTCTTTTTTGGACAACAACATGCTTACACACAAAGTTGTTCCAAGTGTAAAAATAGAAAGTAATTTTAAAATGTCATTTGTCTTTCTAACCACAAACATTTCAGTTGATATGTGTTTCTTTTTTTTTCTAAATGTTGATTTAGGTCAATAATGGTGTCTACAGTGAGGATTGAGATCATTCTCTCAGTTTACATCATTTCATTCCTGATCGGCTTCCCCTGTAATCTCTTGGCTCTCTATGCATTTAGTACCAAGGTCCGTTCCAAGCCACGTCCAACAGACATCCTGCTGCTTAATTTGACCATCTCCGACCTTCTGTTTTTGCTCATCCTTCCTTTCAAGATGCACAAGGCAGCATCTGGTATGAAGTGGGATCTGCCCAACTTCATGTGCTCCATCACTTACTTCACATTTTTCTCCACAATCTACACCAGCTCCTTGCTGCTGATGGCAGTCAGTGTGATCCGCTACATAGGAGTAGCATTTCCTATCAGCTATCATCTACTGCAGAAACCTGTGTATACAATTGTTATCAGTGTTGCTGTTTGGCTCATCTCATCAGCACACTGCAGCATTGTTTTCGTCATCCAGCATCACCCATCTCTGGCCAGTAATAACTCCAATGCGTGTTATGAACAGTTTTCAGAGAAGCAGTTGAAGATCCTCCTCCCAGTACGTCTGGAGTTTTTCTTTGTACTCTGCCTCATACCTCTTCTTATTTGTGTTTACTGCTACTTGCGCTGCATCTCGATTCTGTACAGCCGTCCCAGGATATCCCAGATGCAGAAACAGAAGGCC